GGTTGCAGCCGTCATTGTTGTTTGACTGGCCTGGGCTGGATTCAAACCCGCCACCTTAGGTGTATGTGGCTGGCGCTTTAGCCACTTGAGCTATAGGCACCGAGCCCTGAAATATATTTTACAAACCAAAATTTTATGGAAGGAAAAATAGTAAGTCTTCAAATGAATGCAGGAGCTTCCCATTTAATCTTCTTCTATGTGTCTAATCTTAAAAATCTGAGCTCTTAAAAATGCCTTTAGAAACTTGAAATCATTGATAGTAGCAATATCCTTTCAGGTTTTTTCCAAGTTTAAAATAAATAAAGAAAATAAATTTCTTTTATGCTCCCTAATGCCACACATTTCAAGCATAATTATAACTTTTTATTGTAAAAGTAATACTCATTCAGGAAAAAATTCTAAAACGTAAAAAGTACAAAAACCCATAAGTATTCCCAATATTAAAACCTAACTACTGTTAACATCATCATTGTATTCCTTTATCACCTCTATTTTGTTCCCTATACATACATCTGTCATACAGTTAATCGCTTACAATTTTGATTGATTTTCCCCCCACTAAACTTTAGATCATAGAATAGATTCTATTGCTCAAGGAACCTGGGTAAGTGAATGCAGCCACTGATGGTTATCTGTACTTTTACTCTCTGTAGTTTTCAGAGAAAACGTGAAATCTAAGAGTCATGTACTCGTATTTGTGATATTTTTCATTATCTTTCCATTGCATAGTTCCACTGATCATCTAGCAAACATGTCACAAAACTCTATCTTCAACACAATTTCACTTCTTACCTTTTGAGCTGCAAGATGGAGAGCTGTTCTCTGGCTATGGTCAGTTTTATTAACATCAGCTCCTGCCTTCAGGAGAGCATCTGCACAGTCCAGTCTGTCGGCCAACACACAATACATAAGGGGTGTTCTCCCAAATTGATCTTCTTTGTCTTTAAGGGCAGAGTTTCCTATGAATATAAGCAACAGATAGTCCTAGTTAGTAATTATCATTGTCGTTACTAATAAGTGCACAAAGTAGGAACAACTACATTTATTAAACGTTTATTGTGTGAAATACATTAAGCATATTATCTTCGATAAAGTAGATGTTATTATTTCATATATAGAAACCTGAGTTGAGGAGTTAAGTAACTCCTCTACATTCATGCTGAAAGGAAATGCAGCTAGAATTCAGACTGATTCTGACCAGATTCATAATCATTATGTTATGCTGAGTTACCATTTAGAAATGGAACTACATATGCGCCTCTCTCACTTGTCCTTTTGTAACAAATACTTTAGTGTCAAGAGTAAGCTAGGCATCATGGTATATATATATAGTTTTTTTTTTTTCTGCAGTTTTTGGCCGGGGCTGGGTTTGAACCCACCACCTCTGGTATATGAGGCCAGAGCCCTACTCCTTTGAACCACAGGCACTGCCCAGCATCATGGTATATTCTTATGAGTGAAACAAAAATGAATCATACTTGGTTTCCCAACTATGGGTGAGCAAATGCACAATATCCTAATCTTCCTGCTATTTATACCTAAAATCCATAAGAAAAATCAATGAAAGGTGGGCAAGGGAAAGTAGATGGACTAGAGACTTTGGAAGTTGGGGGATATCCTGGTAGTAAGTTCTCTGAAGTGTTTTTTGTTTGTTACTTCCTAGTCTAGTCATCTTGGGTGCTTAAGTTTCCCACAACCTGGAAACATCAAGGGGTACAGACATCAAATTCCCCAAGACAAGTTTTCTGTCTTCAGTTAAAAGATCAGGAAGCAAGTAGCCCTGTAGAGTGAACCCTTTTGACAATACCTGCTCTCTTCAAAACACACACAACTAAAGGAACTGTGTCCCTTCCTCTCCCCACTGGACACTGCACAGACTGTTGGGAGGAGCCCTGTGAAACTGATCAGAATCAAGAGAGCAAAAGCTCTGAGAATTGCAGGATGGGTAGAATACTGTCTAGGTTCTAAATTGGCCTTGGTACAGAAACAGGGCAGACCAGAAGAGCCTTACCAGAGCTCTGAAAACTAACTTGACATTTGAACCACAGTCCACAAAATCGAAGTAGAATGTTTATTCCAAACATTAACAGACTGTCAGTCTACTAAAATGGATATTCAAATGGGATCCAGAGGCTCATAACATAATACAGAAAATATTAAATACACAATCCCAAATTACTAGCCAACCCAAAAGCCAGTGAAAATTAACTTAAATAAGAAAAGATAACCCACAGTCACCAATTATATGATAACAAAGATATTAAAATAATCTGACTGGCTTGGTGCCTGTGGCTCAAGTGGCTAAGGCACCAGCCACATACACGGGAGCTGGTGGGTTCGAATCCAGCCCAGGCCTGCCAAACAATAATAACTACAACCAAAAAATAGCCGTGCGTGGTGGTAGGCGCCTGTAGTCCCAACTACTTGGGAGGCTGAAGCAAGAGAATAGCTTGAACCCAAAAGTTTGAGGTTGCTGTGAGCTGTAATGCCACAGCACTCTATCCATGGTGACAGCTTGAGACTCTGTATC